GTTGGGAGTGAGGGGCACCAGCAGAGCTGGGGGGGCAGGGCTGGCAGGGGCTGTGGGTTGGGAGTGAGGGGCACCAGCAGAGCTGGGGGGGCAGGGGCTGCAAGCCAGGAGTGGGGAGCACCGGCGGGGGGAGGGCAGGGGACTGGTCCGAGAGGGGAGTTGGGTGCCAAGATGTGGGCAGCCCTGGTGTCCGGGCAAATGTGCCATGGAGAACGGTGGCACCTTCCCTGCCCCCTCCGAGCTGCTGTCCTGGGGGAAACCTGCACACAACAGCCAACCTGGTACCGCCCCCCCCCTGGGCCCAGCCAGCCTGGTACCGCCCCCTCCCCCCATTGTCGGGTGACTTTGTCCAGTTCTGGCTTGGGGCGGGTCGAGCCTGGCAATGTCCACCAGCAGGGAGTTCCACCGGTTAACGGCCTCCAATGTCGTTCCCCCCCCCCCATGCAGCCAGACCCTCCACTCGAGCTGGGGGCAGGGCCTGGAGGGTTTTGATGTCCCCTATAAGGCAATGGCTCCCCCCACCATGTCCTGGGTGGGGGTGTAGGTCCCCCAGGGCTGGGGGTGGTGCTTGATGTGGGGGGCATGTCTTTGGTTTGTCTGAGCTCCGCCCCCATCCTAGCCCCACCCTCCCCTGGACCCTGCCATCCTGGAAGACCTATCTACCCCACCCCCTCCCCCACCCCCCGTGTATCTCACCACCTATTCCTGCTTTGGGGTGAATTGCAGCCCCCCCCACCCCCGGGCTTCCCCCAGAGGATGTGGATCTGGGGGATGGGAGGAGCTGGTTGTGGGGCCCCCCATGAAGTCTGTGTCCCCTGGGAAGCCAGTTGTGCAGCCCCCTACAGGAAATGGATCCAGCCCCCCTCTCCGTCGCGTGGGGGGCTGGGGGGCCCCTCGGCCCGTCCCCCACCCCGCAGGATGTAGTTCTGCCCCCCGTTGTTGTCCCACAGCTCCTGGCCCCCCACGTGGCAGCGCAGGGCGAACTCCAGGGCGCCCCCAGGGGGCAGGGGCAGGCGGAAAGCGAAGCGGTCAGAGGGGGGGCCGGGCGGGGGGCCGGCGGAGGGCCCGGCGTAGGCGGCGGGGGCCTCCCGGTAGCTGGCCCAGCCGTCCCAGGTGTAGCGGATGCTGACCCGCTTCTCATAAGCCAGGTTGAGAACCCGCAGGGTCCCCGCCACCCCCAGCCCCCCAGCCCGCACCCCTTCCAGGCACACGCCTTGCACCCCCAGCCGTGCCCCGAAGTCCGGCAGCCCCAGCGGGTCCCAGAAACACGGTGTCAGCGGCAGGCGCCCAGCCAGCGGGTCCTGGGAGTCCTGGAGAAAACGGGCGGGAGGGGATGGAGAGAAAGAAAGAAAATTAATGTCGGTTGGAGCCCGGTGACCCTGCTGGGGGGGGGGGCGGAGCTGGGGACCTGCCCCCCAGCCTTCATCCCCCTCCCCTCCCTGCCCCCCATCGCTCCCCCCGTTACCTGGAAGGGCTGCAGGGGGGCGAAGTGGCGCAGGGCGTCACGCCGGAGCTGGGTGTGCACGCGCTCGGGGACCTGGGGCAGCTCGGCTGGCCAGTAGCGCCTCACGCTGGCCAGCTCCAGCCCCAGGGCGTCAGCGAAGCGCACCCGCTTGCGGGAGCCGGGGCTGCGGCTGCGGGATCCCCCACCAGGGCCCCCGGCCGGGGCAGAGCGGGCCCTGCGACGGCGGTGCCCCCCCCTCCTGCCCGTGCGGCTCTGGCGCCCCCGCGGCCGGGCCCCCCGAGCCCGCCCCTCGGCCTCCGAGTCAGAGTCGTCGCCCAGGCTGGGCCGGACCGTGCGGTAGTATGCCCGCTCGTACAGCCCCGCGATGTAGCTCAGGTTGCGCGGGATGTCGCTGGGGGGCGGGGGAGCGTGTGCCATGGGGCCCAGGGTGGGGCCAGCTCCCTCTGTCCAGGCCCCGGCTCGTTCTATCGCTCCGCCCGGGCACCGGCTCCTTCTGTTGCTCCGCCCGGGCACCGGCTCCTTCTGTCGCTCTGTCCGGGCCCCGCCTCGTTCTATCACTCCGCCCGGGCCCTACGTTCTTCTATCGCTCCGTCCGGGCCCTGCTTTGTTCTATCGCTCCGTCCAGGCCCCGCCTCGTTCTGTCGCTCTGTCAAGGTGCCGGCTCGTTCTATCGCTCTGTCAAGGTGCCGGCTCGTTCTATCACTCTGTCTGGGAACCAGCTCATTCTATTGCCACATCCGGGAGCTGTATCCTTCTGTCCCTCCGTCCAGGCTCGTGTCCTGTCACCCTGTCCAGGCCTCCTCCTATTGCTCTTTCTGGGCTGTGTCTCGTTCTATCGCTCCATCATGTCGCCAACTCATTCTACCACTTCATCGCTGCCTTCCACGTTCTTCTCTTCTAGAGGGTCCAAGTCTATTTCTCTGTCTGGACCCTCGTTCTGTTGCTCTGTCGCTATCTTCACGTTCTTCCCTCTCAGAAATTCTCCTTCTCTCTCTCCATCTGGGCTGCGATTCGTTCTATTACTCTGGCAGGGCGCTGGCTTATTCTACTCCTTCCTCACCCCCTTCCAGGTTCCTCCCTTCCAGAGTTTCCAAGACTACGTCTGTCTGGACTCTGCCTCCTTCTCTCTCTCTGTCCTTGCCGCCTTGTTCCTTTTTTCTGGAGAGTCTCAATTTATCACTGCAGCCAGCTGCTGGTTTGTTCTCTCTCTCCGTCACTCTTCCCTTTCAGAGATTCTGAGTGTCTCCCTCTGTCCAGGCTCCGATTCGTTCTGTCGCTCCTGCACTGTCTCCTTCTCTCTCCTCCTATCCTATCCTCTCTTGTTCTCTTGCTCTGGCCAGGCTCTGTCTCGCTCGGTCACTGCCTCCTTCGATCTCTCTGCTGTTCGTTCTCTCTCCTTGCGATCCGTCTTTCTATTGCTCCGGCTGGGCGCTGTCTGGTTCTGTCGCTCTGAGGGGGCTTCACCCGGGCTCTCTCTCCGTCTCTTTCTCTTTCACCTTCTTTCCTCCAGCAGATGCCCCTCCTCCCTCCCTCGCTCTTCTTCTTTCACTATCCCTCCATCCCTCCTGGTCCAGGAGCACGCAAAATCTGCCTTGGCAATTACCGTAATGCTCAGAAACGGCACATCCCCTCCAAGCAATCTCCCTTCCTTCCAATGCTCAGGGCTCCCCATTCCCCCCAGCCCCCTGTCCACCAGCCGGGAGGTGGGGGTGGGGTAATCACTCCTTCCAGACCGTGTGGAGTTAACCTGGCAGGAACCCAGGCGTCCGGGAGTCTAGGCCCAGCTGGGGACACCATGTACCTGAGAGGTGAAGGGCCGAAAATGTTCTACTCTGAGATCAATAATTCATGAGACAAGATGCAGCTAATGGATCCCGGGAAGCTGGCCAGGGAATGGGGATGGTGGGGGACTGAGGGGAGGCAGAGCAGCAGGGGGCAGGGCTGGGCTAGAAGGGGCTGCAGGTTGGGACTGAGGGGCACCAGCAGAACGTGGGGGGCAGGGCCGGGCTGGCTGGGGCCTGCGGGTCGGGAGTGAGGGGCACTGGCAGGACGGGGGGAGGGGCAGGGCCTGGCTGGGCTGGCAGGGGCTGCGGGTCGGGAGTGAGGGGCACAGGCAGGGCTGGGCTAGAAGGAGCTGTGGGTCGGGAGTGAGGGGCACTGGCAGAACGTGGGGGGCAGAGCTGGGCTGGAAGGGGCTGCGGGCGGGAATGAGGGGCACCGGCCGGGGCAGGGGGGGCGACTGGGCGT